TGTAACATATATACCAAATCAGATCATAATTTAGATTGAAAAAGGTATTTTCATCGGAACTTAGCTAATGAAAATCTTAAATATTTAAGTGGTTAAACACAGGTTTTGGAAACATGATTATTATGTAGCCATACTTGTTGGAACATATATACTTACAGCAAAATAAAACGATCACCATAACAATCCACAAATAGAAAAGACATTACAACATACTGTAGCCACTGACTGCGGTACGTCTAAAATCATGATCATTATCGGAATAGACATACAAGTCAGTCATTGGTATTAAACTTTGTTTCTGTTTGTCTGTGTAAAACTTTCTAATTGCCTTGTCAATGCAGCAAATGGACCAAGTAAACTGTATTTATTTAAACTTCATTCTGTCTCATAATGTTGTCTGCAAGAAACTCACTTGTAATAATAGTTATTATGACAAACTGAACAAAATCAAATTTGGTTGGCTTGAAATGGTAATGTTCAAACAAGTTAAAGTACATGATTCATCCATTGTTTCCCCCAACAATAACAATGAGATTTAAATTGGAAAACAGCTGATAGATAGAAATGAAAGTCACCAACATTAAGGAAGGAACAAATCGCTATGACAGAGTGTTGTGAGTCACCAACATTGAGTCAGGGGTTAGTTGTTCTGACAGAGTGGTGTGAGTCACCAACATTGAGTCACAATGAGATTTAAATTGGAAAACAGCTGATAGATAGAAATGAAAGTCCCCAACCTTAAGGAAGGAACAAATCGCTATGACAGAGTGTTGTGAGTTACCAACATTGAGTCAGGGGTTAGTCATTATGACAGAGGGTTGTGAGTCACCAACATTGAGTGTCACCAACATTGAGTCAGGGGTTAGTCGTTCTGACAGAGTGGAGTGAGTCACCAACATTGAGTCAGGGGTAAGTCAATTGAGTCGGAAACAAATTGTTTTGACAGGGGGGTGCGAGTCACCAACATTGATTCAGGGGTTTGTCATTCTGTCAGAGTGTTGTGAGTCACCAACATTGAGTAGAAAAAAAATTGTTTTGACAGAGTGTTGTGAGTCACCAACATAGAGTCAGGGGTTAGTCATTCTGACAGAGGGGTGCAAGTCACCAACATTGAGTTAGGGGTTTGTCATTCTGACAGAGGGTTGTGAGTCACCAACATTGAGTGTCACCAACATTGAGTCAGGGGTTAGTCATTCTGACAGAGGGTAGTGAGTCACCAACATTGAGTCAGGAGTTAGTTATTTTGACAGAGTGTTGTGAGGCACCAACATTGAGTCGGAAACAAATTGTTTTGAAAGATTGGCGCGAGTCACCAACATTGATTCAGGGGTGTCATTCTGACAGAGTGTAGTGAGTCACCAACATTTAGTCAGGGGTTGGTCATTCTGACAGAGTGCTGTGAGTCACCAACATTGAGTCGGAAACAAACTGTTTTGACAGGGTGGTGCGAGTCACCAACATTGATTCAGGGGTGTCATTCTGACAGAGTGTAGTGAGTCACCAACATTTAGTCAGGGGTTGGTCATTCTGACAGAGCGTTGTGAGTCACCAACATTGAGTCGGAGACAAATTGTTTTGACAGGGTGGTGCGAGTCACCAGCAGAGTGTTGTGAGTCACCAACATTGAGTAGAAAAAAAATTGTTTTGACAGAGAGTTGTGAGTCACCAACATTGAGTCGGAAGCAAATTGTTTTGACAGAGGGGTGCGAGTCACCAACATTGAGTCAGGGGTAAGTCGTTCTACCAGAGTTGTGTGAGTCACCAACATTGAGTCAGGGATTAGTCGTTCTGACGGTTGTGAGTCACCAACATTGAGTCAGGGGTTGGTCATTCTGACAGAGTGCTGTGAGTCACCAACATTGAGTCGGAAACAAATTGTTTTGACAGAGGGGTGCGAGTCACCAACATTGAGTCAGGGGTTAGGTATTCTGACAGAGTGTAGTGAGTCACCAACATTGAGTCGGAAACAAAGTGTTTTGACAGAGTGTTGTGAGTCACCAACATAGAGTCAGGGGTTAGTCATTCTGACAGAGTTTAGTGAGTCACCAACATTGAGTCAGGGGTTAGGTATTCTGACAGAGTGTAGTGAGTCACCAACATTTAGTCAGGGGTTGGTCATTCTGACAGAGCGTTGTGAGTCACCAACATTGAGTCGGAGACAAATTGTTTTGACAGGGTGGTGCGAGTCACCAACATTGATTCAGGGGTTTGTCATTCTGAATTGAGTCGGAAACAAATTGTTTTGACAGACGTGTGCGAGTTACCAACATTGAGTCAGGGGTTAGTCATTCTGACAGAGTTTAGTGAGTCACCAACATTGAGTCAGGGGTAAGTCGTTCTACCAGAGTTGTGTGAGTCACCAACATTGAGTCAGGGATTAGTCGTTCTGACGGTTGTGAGTCACCAACATTGAGTCAGGGGTAAGTCATTCTGACAGAGGGTTGTGAGTCACCAACATTGAGTGTCACCAACATTGAGTCAGGGGTTAGTCGTTCTGACAGAGTGGAGTGAGTCACCAACATTGAGTCAGGGGTAAGTCGTTCTACCAGAGTTGTGTGAGTCACCAACATTGAGTCAGGGATTACTCGTTCTGACGGAGTGGTGCGAGTCACCAACATTGAGTCAGGGGCAAGTCATTCTGACAGAGTGTTGTGAGTCACCACCATTGAGTCAGGGGTTTGTCATTCTTACAGATTGTTGTGAGTCACCAACATTGAGTCGGAAACAAATTGTTTTGACAGAGTGTTGTGAGTCACCAACATAGAGTCAGGGGTTAGTCATTCTGACAGAGGTGTGCAAGTCACAAACATTGAGTTAGGGGTTTGTCATTCTGACAGAGGGTTGTGAGTCACCAACATTGAGTCAGGGGTTAGTCATTCTGACAGAGGTGTGCAAGTCACCAACATTGAGTTAGGGGTTTGTCATTCTGACAGAGTGTTGTGAGTCACCAACATTGAGTCGGAAACAAATTGTTTTGACAGGGTGGTGCGAGTCACCAACATTGATTCAGGGGTTTGTCATTCTGACAGAGTGTTGTGAGTCACCAACATTGAGTCGGAAACAAATTGTTTTGACAGGGGGGTGCGAGTCACCAACATTGATTCAGGGGTGTCATTCTGACAGAGTGTAGTGAGTCACCAACATTGAGTCAGGGGTTTGTCATTCTGACAGAGTGGTGTGAGTCACCAACATTGAGTCAGGGGTTAGTCGTTCTGACAGAGTGGAGCGAGTCACCAACATTGAGACAGGGGTTTGTCATTCTGACAGAGTGTTGTGAGTCACCAACAATGAGTCAGAAACAAATTGTTTTGACAGAGGTGTGCGAGTCACCAACATTGAGTCAGGGGTAAGACGTTCTACCAGAGTGGTGTGAGTCACCAACATTGAGGCAGGGGTAAGTCGTTCTACCAGAGTGGTGTGAGTCACCAACATTGAGTCGGAAACAAATTGTTTTGACAGAGTGTTGTGAGTCACCAACATTGAGTCGGAAACAAATTGTTTTGAAAGATTGGCGCGAGTCACCAACATTGAGTTAGGGGTTTGTTGTTTTGACAGAATGGTGTGAGTCACCAACATTGAGTCAGGGGTTTGTCCTTCTGACAGAGTGGTGTGAGTCACCAACATTGAGTCAGGGGTAAGTCGTTCTACCAGAGTGGTGTGAGTCACCAACATTGAGTCAGGGGTTAGTCATTCTGACAGAGGTGTGCAAGTCACCAGCATTGAGTTAGGGGTTTGTCATTCTGACAGAGGGTTGTGAGTCACCAACATTGAGTGGGAAACAAATTGTTTTGACAGCGTGGTGCGAGTCACCAACATTGAGTCAGGGGTTAGTCGTTTTGACAGAGTGGTGTGAGTCACCAACATTGAGTCGGAAACAAATTGTTTTGACAGAGTGGTGCGAGTCACCAACATTGAGTCAGGGGTAAGTCATTCTGACAGAGTGTTGTGAGTCACCAACATTGAGTCAGGGGTTAGTCATTCTGACAGAGTGGTGCGAGTCACCAACATTGAGTCAGGGGTTTGTCATTCTGATAGTGGTGTGAGTCACCAACATTGAGTCAGGGATTAGTCGTTCTGACGGAGTGGTGCGAGTCACCAACATTGAGTCAGGGGTTTGTTATTCTGACTTGTGTGCTGTACCCAGAATGTTGATTAAGACGTATCTTTAGTTTTTTTTTTTTTTGTAGCATTCCCAATGTTGATTAAACAGACATAAGGTGTGTACTTGTGTGCAGATCCGATAGATTTTTCACTTCGTTGTAAAACAATTCTCATTTATTTAACGCCCATATAATGAAAATCTCGATAGCACTCTCTACCAATCCTATATACCCTTTAACTTGTCACTTGATCAGACGCCGTCCGTCTGTCACTCCAACGTTTGTTGCATTCTCCTTACTGATGCATTTGTCACGTTGCGAGAAAGCTATAATTATGTGGGTCATTACCAAATATACTGTGTCCAACCTGGCCATTATCTATACACACAAATAGCGACCAGTGATTATAAGGGTGTGCTTACTGCCTAACCTACGATGTCATAAAGACTTCACTACACCGACAACATACATACTTTGTTAAGCTAGCATATATGTATATACTGCTAACAAAGTTTTTTTCATGGATTTTGCACATTTTATCAGATCTAAATACTGCCATTTTAGACCCAGCAAAAATAGTTTTTAATTCGTTTTAATGATATAACTAAGATGACTTTTTCAAAGATGTACCTGTTTAAGTGATATTACTACAAAAAGCAGCAAAGCTGTCATCTTTTGCATTCTGGGAGGGGAAGGGGGAGAGGGATTTTAATAGGACAATATTATTTGTCATTTCTACTGAACTTCAATAGATACAAGTGGGCTTATTACCAGGCATGGGTTTAATGCTGCATGGCTATTCTCCTTCATTACAAACTCGTCGAGCCTGAGCCTTACCTCCATTTCTAGCTGATAATCAACCATTATTGAAGGTGTTCAGATTTTAAGAAGTATTCCTACCTTTCTCACGGCAAAGGCTCGGATGACAATGTTTGGAAATTTCTGACAGCCAATATAGCGAACCCCAATCGGACCATACTTGTGTTCCACATCCAAATCTGAGGGCCAGAAACAAGGATGGCTCTGTAACAAAAAGGAAAAACAATATAAGACTGAGGGCCAAATTTATTGATTATAAACAAGGCATGACTCTAATCAGAGTATAATTTGTCAGTCAAAACTGGCTGGAAATAGCTCCCAGACTGAGATGCCTCAGAACGGTGAATGAGCTAAAATACGGGTGGCTCCCTTATATCTGTGGGTTTGAAATGGGGTGACTCCCATCAATTTGTGAGCTAGAAAGACAGATTGCTGCCATACATGTTTGTGGGTTTGAAACAGAGAAAGCATACATAGTTCTGTAGGATTAAAACAGGGATGATGTAATATCTGTAATGTAATAACTTCTCCATGTCAACAATGTAGCAAACCTGCCCTGCCATCTCTAAAATATTTCATAAAATCATTGTCTGAGAAAAGTAAAAACAGGAAATAAAACGCATTAACCATTTCACCCCTATGTAACTAATAAGAAGACTCTTATTATACATTGATATGGATGAGTTCATTGTAGTTCATTACAGTGGGTTAATCTGACTTACCCGTGAATATTTGACGTCATTGAGAACCACCAGGGACATGATCTTGTAGTCGTAAATGAGACGCCAAATGTCGTTGATTGTGTTTTGCATAGGCCACTGTGTGACGAGGAAGTTGTTTTCTTGATAATAACCCTGTACACACAAAATAAAGGAGACAGATTTATGCAAAATGGGTGCAAGTAAAGTATTATAGACTAGTCAATCAAAACAAATGTGACAAAATGGGCACATGTAGTATTATAGACTAGCCAATCAAAACAAGTGTGACAAAATAGGCACAGGTAGTATTATAGACTAGCCAATCAAAACAAGTGTGACAAAATAGGTGCAAGTAATTACATTGTATTATAGATTGACCAATCAAAATATTAACTTTGACAACAACCTGATACAAAATAGTTACAGGTAGAATCATGGATTGAATAATCAAAACAAATCTGACAACAGATTGATACAAAATAGGTACAGATGTGTATAGACTGACCAATTAAACAATTCAGTAATGTTCAGGTCTTCTAAATCCATCATGTGAATTTTTGGGGAAAAAAATCCATGGAAAGAAAAAAAATCCAGAACTATCAAAGATCAAATTTAGTGTAATATACAATTTTGTTTTCTTTCAAAATATAAAAGTTGATGCTTTTTCTATGATTTTGTGTGATTTTAATCGACATAGAAGTGTTCTGTAGATTATATGAATCTATATTTTGAAATAGATGAATACTCAAGAAATGAGTTTAACGTTCCCATGCGAAGAAGACACTTCATACCTATGCGATGATGAGTAATGTGCAAGCTCATAAACAGGTGAACTCACTTTAAGTCTGACAAAGAGTATAAAGACATAAAATGAAAAAAAAAATATCCTTGCAAATCTAACAGCTTACGATACCTTATCATTGTCAGATATATATACAGGTTTTCAAATGAGTGCTTGTTAGTTACCATGCTTTTCTAACTCAATTTAATTATGATGTTCATATTAAGTAAAACATTTGAGAATTAACTTTTACTGGTAGTTGACTAGATAAACATGATAACCATGCAATAATCATGAGTTTGGGTGCCTTTCTCTTCCACAACATTCACATTATATTTAAAGGACTGCCCTCATCCCACTTTGATCACGGGATGGGACGGGACGCGACGCGACGGACATGGGCAACACTTTATGCCCCCCCCCCATTTCATGGTGGGGCATAAAAATGTTTGCCTCTTGAAAATTCCTGTTTCTGATGGAAGATGCTGGTGCAAAGCCTTGTTACATGAAGTCCTAATTAAGGGCTGACCAGCTGACCAATGAAATCATGTCCAGGGGATTACCCAGCAGTGGGTAACCAAAAACGTTTACTAACTCCTAGCACCTATACTGGTTGTGGGAGAAATAACCTACCTATATCCTCACTTCCAATCACCATACTTACGTCAATAAACACTGCGTTGATGACACCGTACTTACGTCAATAAACACTGCGTTGATGAAGTCGGTTCCATTATCACTAGACTCGGACGTCAACAGGTACGGCCGAGCTCGTTCAGCTAGAATAATAACCACATCAGTCAAGTCTTGGTGGCTTAAATGTATATTAACGAAATTTGATGACAAAATTGCAAAATTTGCAATATTTCAACACATATAACATTAAATTTGTCTTCATCCAAAAAAGTCTTTTGAACTTTTCTGAAGGACGAAATAATAATATGATGATAACTAAAGATACCATTGAAACATGTCAGCTGATAGTAAGGTGGTAAATAAAACAAGGACATTTCATTTACTAGCTTTTAACGTACCAGACATGTGTTTAAATTGAACAAACAATTGACATGTATAGTTATGTACAACATTTGATTATCTACATCTTCTTCACTGATCATCACAACATATCATACAACATACAACATTTAAATATCAAATTACATCATAATAAAAAACAAGAGGTCCATGGGCCTTAACGGTCACCTGATATATTTAAACATAGAGTTGATTTTGTTTTTAACACAAACAGAAATATTATTCAGTGACAAAAAACAATAAAACCACCTTATTCAATATCTAGCATACAGATTTAAGACTAAAAAGTATTTGAAACTAGCACCTCTGATTCTAAACAAGGAATATGAAGAAATTTTAGCACACTGACTCCTTTGGGCCCCACCCTACAGCCCTTGGGGGTAGGGCTGGCTCAAAATTTTNCTGGGGGTCAGTCAGGGCTCATAGGTGCATACTATCAAACTGCTACCTAATACTGATAATGCTAACCCAAATTGAATTACTTCCAATGGAAATTAAACAAATGTTGGTCCAAAATGTGATTTCCCTATATAAACTATAGTGAAGTTTACCCCCTCCCCAGGGGGAAACGTGAGACCCCAGGGTCAAGAAATTCACAATTTTGGTAAAGCACCTTAAGACCCTTCCATCTATGAAGAGTATTTGATTCTATCACATCTGGGTTTTGAGAAGAAGATTTTTTTTTTTTTAGTCAATCTGACCCTTTTTGGCCCGCCCCTCAGGCCCCTGGGGGCAGGGACCAAACCGGCAACTCTTTTTGTTGACCTTTGGCTATGGAAGGTTTCTGCATTGGTTCAGGGGTTTTGGAGAAGAAGTCGAAAATGTAAATTGTTTACGGACGCACGACGGACGACGACGGACAAAAGGCGATCGCAATAAGTCACTTGAGACTTTGTCTCAGGTGACCTAATAAAAATTTGGCATGTGGGGTGGACTCAACTTAACACTTGCATTTTTTGTAGTACCATTCTTCCTCTTAGTTAAGGCAGTGAGTTTGTAGCAGTGCAGACAAAGTCTCACCGATTACTCCAAATTGTTTGCAGATTATTTGTGGCTGTGCAGACTTAGCAGCGACAGATTACCACAAAACTTGATTAATCGACTGGGTATATGCTATTGTATTTGTCCAGGTTATCCTGCGACAGCTACTGCATATAGGTGCAAAGGGTTTTGAACCAGATGTAGGCATTAGCTATGTGACTTACTTTTAAATGAATTATGTTCATAATTCCAAAATATATTCTATATATGAATATTTTTGGGGAAGTTTGAACGCCTCCCTCTTCGTATCCGAATGAAAACCAGGCCATAACTGGTATATTGTGCGAGTGATATAAGCTGAGTACCCCATATTGTACTCACGTGGGAGCAGCATAATGTCGCGGCTTTTTGTCCGATTTTCTGACCGGTGCCCTCCAGCACAATCTCCGATACTCAATCGTGTTGCAATGTTTTTTATTATCTGGAAAAAAAAAATCACAGATTCTAAAACATCTTATAATACTACAACACATTTATCTTATTTTATACAAAATTTTCAACCTTAACCAGAAATGTAAGGCACAGGCATCTTGAATACTGAAATGTATAGATGGCCATTTGAAGTACAGCATTTATAAATATTCCTTATGTATCACTCCCACAAAGTATCTACAAGGTCAATCACACAGACCTCAATCAACAAGGTCAACCACACAGACCTCAATCTACAAGGTCAATCACACAGACCTCAATCAACAAAGTCAATCACACAGACCTCAATCAACAAGGTCAACCACACAGACCTCGATCAACAAGGTCAACCACACAGACCTCAATCAAAAAGGCCAACCACACAGACCTCAATCAACAAGGTCAACCCCACAGACCTCAATCAACAAGGTCAACCACACAGACCCCAATCAACAAGGTCAACCACACAGACCTCAATCAAAAAGGCCAACCACACAGACCTCAATCAACAAGGTCAACCACACTGACCTCAATCAACAAGGTCAACCACACAGACCTCAATCTACAAGGACAACCACACAGACCTCAATCAACAAGGACAACCACACAGACCTAAATCAACAAGGTCAACCACACAGACCTCAATCAACAAGCTCAACCACACAGACCTCAATCAATCAGGGCAACCACACAGACCTCAATCAACAAGGTCAACCACACAAACCTCAATCAACAAGGTCAACCACACAGACCTCGATCAACAAGGTCAACCACACAGACCTCAATCAACAAGGACAACCACACAGACCTAAATCAACAAGGTCAACCACACAGACCTGAATCAACAAGGTCAACCACACAGACCTCAATCAACTAGGTCAACCACACAGACCTCAATCAACAAGGTCCACCACACAGACCTCAATCAACAAGGTCAATCACAAAGACCTCAATCAACAAGGTCAATCACACAGACCTCAATCAACAAAGTCAAGCACACAGACCTCAATCAACAAGGTCAACCACACTGACCTCAATCAACAAGGTCAACCACACAGACCTCGATCAACAAGGTCAATCACACAGACCTCAATCAACAAAGTCAATCACACAGACCTCAATCAACAAGGTCAAGCACACAGACCTCAATCAACAAGGTCAACCACACTGACCTCAATCAACAAGGTCAACCACACAGACCTCAATCTACAAGGACAACCACACAGACCTCAATCAACAAGGTCAACCCCACAGACCTCAATCAACAAGGTCAACCACACAGTCCTCAATCAACAAGGTCAACCGCACTGTCCTCAATCAACAAGGTCAACCACACAGACCTCAATCTACAAGGTCAATCACACAGACCTCAATCAACAAAGTCAATCACACAGACCTCAATCAACAAGGTCCACCACACAGACCTCAATCAACAAGGGCAACCACACAGACCTCAATCTACAAGGTCAATCACACAGACCTCCATCAACAAAGTCAATCACACAGACCTCAATCAACAAGGTCAAGCACACAGACCTCAATCAACAAGGTCAACCACACACACCTCAATCAACAAGGTCAACCACACAGACCTCAATCAACAAGCTCAACCACACAGACCTCAATCAATCAGGGCAACCACACAGACCTCAATCAACAAGGTCAACCACACTGACCTCAATCAACAAGGTCAACCACACAGACCTCAATCAACTAGGTCAACCACACAGACCTCAATCAACAAGGTCAACCACACAGACCTCAATCAACAAGGTCAACAACATAAAATTCAAGTTATAATCGCTGTTGTTTCCGTCAATCAGATGCCATGGTGGCCATCTTGAAACCCAAAACTTAAATATTAATCTTTTATTATAAAGTTTATCCCTATGTATTATTTCTCCTATAATCAAAAAGAAAGGCGCCACTACGGTTGTCACTGTAGTTCCCAATGAGCTAAAGAGAAGTTCCTTTTCAGGCCGAGTCAGTAACAAGGGACTCACCACTGTGACATCAACAAAAAATGGAAAGTCAGATCTTTCATAAGACTGGTTTCAATGTTTAAACAACATACTTGATGTTCTTTTTCAAATCCGTGAAGACGTGTACGAGGATCCTTGATAGCCAGTCTCTGGACCACTGCAGGGAGCTGTGCAGACGGCACCACTGTCGTCCCACATTGGATGTGCATAGCTGCAGCTTCGTAAATAAGGCGATATTGGTACTGTAACAAAAACGGTGTTTATGTTCAGGTGTATAAGCCTACCTAAACTAGACATTTCAGATTTCATTGTAAAAAGAGCCAAAAACAAATGCTACAGATCCATAACAATTATGGCAACCCCAGTTTATTCAGGTACCAAGAGGACCGAGTTCATCAGTGTTGAGAAAAGATGAGTTTACTCCAATATCAAAAATAACATACTGTAAAAACAGCCTGACAGGATACATCCCATGTCACTTTAGTAAAGATTCTGGTTTTGTCTTCTTTCAAAATTGCTTGTATCTAAATAATTACTGGCACTCTTATTGTTGCTGACTACAAGTATTGGGGGAAAATACAAATATAAAGACATTGCATTGCAAAACCTTTCCCTAGGTAAGTACTGTGATTGACATAATAAAAGTACCTGTTCTAATAAGAATGCTTCCCTTTTCCCAGGAATTCAAACACGTAACTTGACTTCTTATACAGTAGATTTCGCTTAATATCACTTCCCATTTGTCAGAGAAAAACATGATATTAACAGAAACATGACATAAACAGAATACATATTTTCTGACGTTTTTCATCCCTCAAAACCGGAAGTGAACTTAGTCAAATGCCTAAGTGTTGTGGCTCTACGAAGAAGAAAACTGTAGTAAACTCTGGAATTTTATTTATTCTGGATTTTATCACCCCCCTAATTATGTAAAATATGTTAGTTTTGAATACTCAATGATCCATTGAGGTTCTCAATGCTGAGATACTTACAAGTGTGCGGACCATATTTTTCCTGAACTTTCGTAGATGAAGAACTGTACTGTATATATCAATGCACCCTTCTCTTTCTAGCTGTTTGAGGCAGCAGTCGAGGGCGATGAACACAGCTGTCTTACCCCCACCACACCTGATAAAAACAGGTATCTATCTTTGTACAAACATCAAGTTCAAGGACAAAACAGATTTTAATAAATTATTATGATACAACCTCCAAAACAAATAGTGATTATAGACTGAATTAATATGTAAATGCAATTCTAAAAGGTCATTATAAGTCAAATGCAAAATCTACAGGTCAAGATCAAATACTAACATCTAGAGGTCAAGGTCACAATTATCTAAAGCTGAATATAACGGATTAAAATCATCAACAATCCAATTAAACTGAAGTTTGCAAGGTCACAATTATTATTAGAATATGACATTTCAGATCAGAGGGGACACAAAACCACTTATAAAGTTGACACCTAATCAAGTGACCTTGACATAACTTGAAATTATTCAAGATTGACACACTATGAAGTGAACTTGATTTTGAAATCTGTTATCAGTATAAGGGTAAGAGGGATCATAGTATGGAGACTGACCTGCAGTGAACAAGAATAGGACCTGTGACCCCCAGCATAAATGTATTAACACGACGGATACAGTCCAGAAGAAACCCTGGGTCTGTAGCCTCGTCATTAAAGCCCACCATCTCAAAGTGCTTGACACTCCTTTCCTCAGCTTCCCCATCCTGTAACCAAACGCATGTGTTAAACAAGTGGCTGATCATGTGTCAAAAGGCTATAATTACAAAGCGTACCAATACCACAGCCTGCCATTAAAAAGCCTTACATTACCAGTGTACCAGTATCACAGTGTACCAATACTATAGCCTGCCATTAAAAAGCCCAGCATTACCACAGTATACCAGTATCACAGTGTACCAATACGATAGCCTGCCATTAAAAAGCCTAACATTACCACGGTGTACCAATATCACAGTGTACCAATACCACAGCCTGCCATTAAAAAGCCTAAAATTACCACAGTGTACCAATATCACAGTGTACCAATACGATAGCCTGCCATTAAAAAGCCTAACATTACCACAGTGTACCAGTATCACAGTGTACCAATACCACAGCCTGCCATTAAAAAGCCTAAAATTACCACAGTGTACCAATATCACAGTGTACCAATACGATAGCCTGCCATTAAAACGCCTAACATTACCAGTGTACCAATATCATAGTGTACCAATACCACAGCCTGTCATTAAAAAGCCTAGCATTACCACAGTGTACAAATACCACAGTGTACCAACACGATAGCTTACCATTAAAAAGCCTAATATTACCACAGTGTACCAATATCATAGTGTACCAATACCACAGCCTGTCATTAAAAAGCCTAACATTACCACAGTGTACAAATACCACAGTGTACCAATACCACAGCTTGCCGTTAGAAAGCCTAACAAAACCAGTTTACCAATATCATAGCTTGCCATTAAAAAGCCTAAGAAAACCACAGTGTACCAATATCACAGTGTACCAATACCACAGCCTTAGAGCGACCGTTAAAAAGCCTAACAGTACCACAGCCTACCGTTAATAAGCCTAACAAAGCCAAAGTGTACCAATATCACAGTCTGCCATTAAAATGCCTGTCATATTGTACAAAACCTGCCAATAACACGACCTACCATTACTAAGCCTCTCAATACCACAGCCTATCAATGACACAAACTATCTTATAACACAGCACTACCATACAATTTAATGCCACTGCTTAGTATTTTTTTTAAATATATCATCCTGAAAAAAATCAACAAATTTTCATCCAACAAAACATGTCAATTTAGCATGAAAGTAGTGTATTAGCGACCATTGATGAAGTAGAAAATACAAACTCTGTTTAAACTAGTTCAATGATTACCCATTGGCTTTGTAATTGGAGCATGCCAACAATACAGGGTATTTATAGAGGAGAGTGGATCAAGGGACGCTTAGCATTAGTGAACAACAGAATAAAGGAGCATTCATTCTGACACATAGGACCATATCTTCCGTTTGTTTTTAACAAGTGAAAGCAAATCAGGAAAATTTAAATTGATGTGCTTTTGGATTCAAATAAAATACCCTTGCAGACAATAATTTGAAACCGAATTTACTGAAACAGGACTTAAATTACCGTGATGAATGTGAATGATTCAGCAGAGCGCTGTGTATTGCTCACTCTGTATCAAAGCGTGTGAACTCGTACATTTTTTTTTACGTAAAACGACTTCAATTTCCAGTCAGCAAATAGTCCTTATACAGAAAAGCTATTCCGTGTGGGTTTAAGTGTGTTGAAAAGAAGAACTAGCATTTAACAGTATCCTTAACTGTGGATTACAATAGCATACCCAATACCATTCACCGTGGATTACAATAACATACCCAATACCCTTCACCGTGGATTTAAATATCATCCCCAATACCCTTCATTGTGGATTACAATAACATACCCAACATCCTTCACCGTGGATTACAATAGCAAACCCAATATCATTCATTGTGGATTACAATAACATACCCAATACCCTTCACCATGGATTTAAATAGCATACCCAGTACCCTTCATTGTGGATTACAATAGCAAACCCAATACCCTTCACCTAGGATTACAAAAACATTACCAATACCCTTCACCATGGATTTAAATATCATACCCAATACCCTTCACTGTGGATTACAATAGCATACCCAATACCCTTCACCGTGTATTACAATAACATACCCAATACCCTTCACCGTGGATTACAATAACATACCCAATACCCTTCACCGTGGATTACAATAGCATACCCAATACCCTTCACTGTGGATTACAATAACATACCCAATACCCTTCATCTAGGATTACAATAACATTACCAATACCCTTCACCATGGATTTAAATATCATACCCAATACCCTTCACTGTGGATTACAATAGCATACCCAATACCCTTCACCGTGTATTACAATAACATACCCAATACCCTTCACCGTGGATTACAATAACATACCCAATACCCTTCACCGTGGATTACAATAGCATACCCAATACCCTTCACTGTGGATTACAATAACATACCCAATACCCTTCATCTAGGATTACAATAACATTACCAATACCCTTCACCATGGATTTAAATATCATACCCAATACCCTTCACTGTGGATTACAATAGCATACCCAATACCCTTCACCGTGTATTACAATAACATACCCAATACCCTTCACCGTGGATTACAATAACATACCCAATACCCTTCACCGTGGATTACAATAGCATACCCAATACCCTTCACTGTGGATTACAATAACATACCCAATACCCTTCATCTAGGATTACAATAACATTACCAATACCCTTCACCATGGATTTAAATATCATACCCAATACCCTTCACTGTGGATTACAATAGCATACCCAATACCCTTCACCGTGTATTACAATAACATACCCAATACCCTTCACCGTGGATTACAATAACATACCCAATACCCTTCACCGTGGATTACAATAGCATACCCAATACCCTTCACTGTGGATTACAATAACATACCCAATACCCTTCACCGAGGATTACAATAACATTACCAATACCCTTCACCATGGATTTAAATATCATACCCAATACCCTTCACTGTGGATTACAATAGCATACCCAATACCCTTCACCGTGTATTACAATAACATACCCAATACCCTTCACCGTGGATTACAATAACATACCCAATACCCTTCACCGTGGATTACAATAGCATACCCAATACCCTTCACTGTGGATTACAATAACATACCCAATACCCTTCACCGAGGATTTAAATATCATACCCAATACCTTTCACTGTGGATTTAAATATCATACCCAATATCCTTCACCGTGGATTACAATAACATACCCAATACCCTTCACTGTGGATTACAATAACATACCCAATACCCTTCACTGTGGATTTAAATATCATACCCAATACCCTTCACCGTGGATTACAATAACATACCCAATACTCTTCACCGTGGATTACAATAACATACCCAATACCCTTCACCGTGGATTTAAATATCATACCCAATATCCTTCACCATGAATTACAATCTGTCTTGTCAGATCCAGTAACAATTAATTGAAATCAAGTGAATAATGTCACCTTTGTTCTGCATAAAACTCAATTTTAATCACAGCATGCATATGCATTTATACAATCACTCAGAAAGCATCAAATTGATATTCACTTGCCTTAAAGCAATTCATAAATGTATAGATAGATTGAGAATGATCAAATATGTGTGGCCTTTGTGTACCCATATAATTTAATCAGAATTAGTGTGTCAAGCAAAAAAACTATTTTTTCATTCTGAACATTTAATTCCAATAAGGTAAAAATTACAAACATACATGAAATTATTACCACAGCATGAAGTAAATTAGCGCTACCAATTAATATCTAAAATTTGTATGATGCCTGCCAGTCATAAAGCTTTAGTTTCATTAAAATGCAATCCAGTAACATATATCTAGTGTTTTCTTGTAAAACAGTTTTAGTTTTATACTTCAAATTATACTTATTCAACTTGACTATTAAAAATATATATCACCTCAAAAATATCAGCATTGTAGTTGTTCAAAACTTCTTTAAATCAACATGTTGGTGCAATATTAAAGTGGAAATCTGTCATCAAGTTTTTCTTGACCACAGCTGATCCTTTTTAACCCAAAAAACCCCCGATAATTGACCTAGATTTCACCTGTTTTCTGATGACAAGAACCATAACGCAGACGTAAACCATATTGCACAGGCTTATTTACGATACTTGTGGGCCCAGTTTTATTACAGTACATCCTTCCACCATTGTTTAAAGTTACGAATAACTAGAACAACAGAATTATAATTTTATTTATCTGTATCTCTTTTATTGATTCGGCTAACGCCTGTACCTATACTTTTGTGTGACCAGCATGACACTGCCAACAGCTGCCCAGGTACAATGGACCTGTTCAATGTTTCTTTTGTGTGGTTTTTGTATTAGCAGGATTATCGCGGTCATGCAGTTCACTTTTATTGATTCGGATTGGGTAGAAATCATTATTTTTTATAAAACATAACCATGTCTACATATCACGCTGATTAAGTTTACCGAGGTCTGCGTAACTTTGGATGCTTTCGAGGGATCCAGGAATAAGCTAATCAGATATTTACCAGTACCTGACTGAGTACAAGTAAAATTTTAGTACATTGTAACGATTTATCCAACAAAATTTCAGCATTATAAAAGGTTTTGACATACATGAAAGACATTATTTAGAACTTCAGTAAACGACAAGTGTATTTGCAAATGATCAAGAACTGTTTCAGAACAGATAACGGACCACAATAAACGATTTAAAAAGTCCACCATCTAATGGCAGTGGGAATGAGCTCGAGATGTATTAACAAATTAAAACTAGAAATATGTCTGGAAGACATGACTGTGCTCGCAAATACTGAAGATTCCGCCTGCTAGAATCGGAACTTTGTTTTAGATTTTAGGCCTTGTGACTATAAATTCATGTATCTGAATGTAGCCACAGTGTCATAAGTTTCATTTGTATGGTAACAGGTTGTTTCGCCCTATATCCCGTTCGCCCTACAAATTTATATTTTTTATTTATACGCTAATATAATGATTAACATTTAAATATATCAACTAAAGTTATTGATGACTTTCTACATTGGTGTTAGGTATATTTCATGTCTAGTATGAGAGAGCGGAGTCAACTTTTTCACAGCTGCCGTTTGTCACACTTGCTTTAAAAAAAGACAAACACATTTTTTATGAAATCGATTTTAATGATATGCAAGACTTCGTAAGAAGACTTACTTTGTAACTTAAAACTACTAAAATTGAAAGAAAATACAAAACAATGTTTCTCCTTAATATTTTTGTTTTAGGGCGAAACAACCTAGTGCGAAACAACCTCGGGCGAACGGGATTGCTTCAAGTCATTTAAATGCTTAAAAATCGTGGCAAATACAGGCGCCGGTGTGATCTACCGCTTCAGCTCATCATGACCTAGCGTGTTCGACCGGACTGTTTGAGTTAAAATTTGATTTATTGCCTATCCACAATAAGTAGAACTTTGGTAAGGAGTATTTATACATTGTATATTTTTCTATTGATGATGACGTGAATGCATAAAGGTAAATTTTGCTAGAAACGTTTGCAAGCATCATGCACTGACCTTCATATCCGTACTGTATGCGCAGTGGCTTTTTGCGCATTTAAATTGAAACAGAACACAGATACACAGAGTAAGACAAATTTAATAGTGCGATCGCTCTGCTTGCACTAAAAACACTGTTGATGAAAATTCTTATCTCCACAGACAAATTTAATAGTGCAATCGCTCTGCTTGCACTAAAAATACACACTGTTGATGAAAATTCTTATCTCCACAACTACAAAAGTATTGTAATTCTTAAAGTGTCTTAAAAAGATTCATTGGTTTAAATGGTCACAACTGAATTTCACAAAACATATTCCGTTTCACATTTACGAAATTTAAATTTATTGGTAGAAAGCTATTATGATATAAATCAGCTTTCAGTTCACACTTTATATACAATATTTTGATAATTTAATTCACAAATGGGCAGGTTTTCAATTGGTTTAAAGTCTTTGCAACATTTCAGGTCATATTATGACAAATTATAACCATAGATAATGGGGCCAGCTGAGGGCCATTCTAAAATGTGCATTAGGGCCGTAACTTAAACATGGTGGCATGACATTCCACCAAGGAACCTGATCTGTAAGGGACATGCAGAGGGTTTGTAACAGCAGGCCAATTCTAATTTCTCAAAACCTGCAGGGGAGGTCTTAACTTGAAGAAGTGATGATAATTCTTTTTTTTTTTTTTTTAGATTTGAATAGGTAGGCAATATGGACCCTTTACAAAGGATAGACCTGGATATAATGGTTCTGTAAATAATAACTTAAATCATACAACTTCAGAAATTAACAAAACACAGTAAGAGGAACAGGAAGACACATTCCCAAAAATAGTTTATAGGATCATTCAAATTTGTTTTCTTGTGCAAATCAAAAGAAATTCCAAATTGATTTTGTTGCATAGTTTAAAATTAGCTTTTTCATTTTTTTTTAACCATTTTTTTTAATCGAAGGAAATAAAATTCATGTTGGTTAGGCCAAATAAAATTAATTACTTGGTTCTCAGGCCAATTTTTTTCAAAATAGATGCGGCAGGGCGGTAATTTTTTTCTCTCCATTTTACATCGTAAAAACGAGACGAGGGCGATTTTTTTTTTATTGTGTAGTTTGTAAAACGTTCATTGTGGACATTACCTTGTTTTTTTAAAGTTGTGTAGAGACCCGTCATAGAGCAAGCCTCCGAAAATCCCCCCACGATGTTCCAGACGCGAACCACCAACCCCCCCATTCCTTATTTGTACCGAAATGAGTGCCATTTGTACACAAGACTAATAAGTCATAATCATTTTAACGCTTGCGGGTATCTCAATCCTTACCTTCAGTCAAACGTTTTCGGGAATTGGGTGACTAACGAGTAAAAACGACATGCGGACCAATTTTCCGGATTTTTTTAAAAATGCCGGCTGGCGCATTCACGATTTTTTTTTTTATCACTTTCACGATAAAATCGGCAATGCGCACGGTGCCATGAAATGCGCGCGGTCCTGAGAACCAAGTAATCATTTTTTTTTTGGCCTTAATATAGCTTCCTCTGTTTAAGCCAGACTAGCACAAATTCAGTATGGCCGTGTCTTATGTTTTGTGAGCCAATATCACTCAATCAGGTACGGAAACAGATCCTCAGGAACGATAAGAAACTAATCAAATTGTGAAAACAATGAAACCATCGATCATGCGGGGATAAATACCTATGAGATAAGTCGTTTGATCTCATTACGTCAGTACTAACATCACTCTTACAGTTAATCTGTACATGTCAGCACTTTAATCCCGACGTCACAGGTATAGAGTAGACGATCTAAGTAATTAGCGTATATTACAACCTTTGAGGCAATAAAACACTCCTGGGACATGATTAAAATACTTCTACATACAACTGTTTATGTTTATTGAACTTAACTGATTGGTTTGCACCAAAGTTTTAGAATGACACCATTACAGTGTTACATGTGGGTAGAGTGAGGTTTGAATGAGGTTTGAGTGAGGTATGAGGGGGAGGACAAAACACGTGGGCCGGGGGTACAGTAAATTGAGTGAGATTTAACGGAAGAGGGGTTGTGGGGTTTGGGGGTATAGTGCTTTGAGTGAGGTATGAGGAGAGGACAAAACACGTGGGGCTGGGGAACAGTAAATTGAGTGAGGTCTAACAGAAGAGGTGTTGTGGGGTTTGGGGGTTTGGGGGTATAGTGGTTTGAGTGAGGTATGGGGGGGAAGGGGTGATACAGGGGCTAGGAAACAGTAAATTGAGTGAGATCTAATGGAAGAGGTGTTGTGGGGTTTGGGGGTATAGTGCTTTGAGTGAGGTATGAGGAGAGGACAAAACACGTGGGGCGGGGGTACAGTAAATTGAGCGAGATCTAACGGAAAGGTGTTGTGGGGTTTGGGGGTTTGGGGGTATAGTGGTTTAAATGAGGTATGAGGGGGAGGACAAAACACGTGGGGCGGGGGTACAGTAAATTGAGTGAAATCTAACGAAAAGGAGTTGTTGGGTTAGGGGGTTTGGGGTTATAGTGGTTTGAGTGAGGTATGATGGGGAGGACAAAACACGTGGGGCTGGGGAACAGGAAATTGAGTGAGATCTAACAGAAGAGGTGTTGTGGGGTTTGGGGGTTTGGGGGTATACTGGTTTGAGTGAGGTATGTATAAGGGGGTGGGGGATGACACAGGGGTAGTGAATTGAGAGAGATCTGACGGAAGGGGTGTTGTAGGGTTTGGGGGTAAAGTGGTTTGAGTGAGGTATGAGGGGANTACAGTAAATTGAGTGAGATCTAACGGAAGAGGTGTTGTGGGGTTTGGGGGTATAGTGGTTTGAGTGAGGTATGGGGGGTGGGGGTGATACAGGGGCTAGGATACAGTAAATTGAGTGAGATATAACAGAAAAGGTGTTGTGGGGTTTGGGGGTATAGTGGTTTGAGTGAGGTATTGGGGGGGGGNGTATAGTGGTTTGAGTGAGGTACGTATAAGGGGGTGGGGGATGACACAGGGGTAGTGAATTGAGAGAGATCTGACGGAAGGGGTGTTGTAGGGTTTGGGGGTAAAGTGGTTTGAGTGAGGTATGAGGGGAAGAGTTATATAATGGTTCTGGATTGAGTAAAGCTGGCGTGTGGGTGTAAAATCCATTAAGGACATTGAATTGTGGACATCTAAAACTTAAATACAATTGATTCAACATTAATTCTCAGACAATTGAGTTTTCATACCGAAAGGATGTTGAAATAGTTTTACTTTTCAGACACATTCCACCTGAAATATAACGCTTATGAAAATATGATTGTAATGTTAAAATCTTTAGTTTTATTTTTGTTTTACTGCACTGTCAAATATACAAAAAAAATATAAAACAATAAAATTTTCCAGTTCTAAACTACGGAAATTACCCTGTAATAGCGGGCAACTCCATAAGTCTTTGGAAGTGTTATTGATTTACAACAGAGTTTTGTCATAATCCCAAGTATAAATACATTTCAGAATGTAAGCCAATGGTTAACCTGTATTTGTATATGTCAAAGAATTATTTTCCTGCTGTGTACATTCAAAACACTATGCCAGTCCTGTGTATTTACCTGAAAATGTATTATTGAATGGTTTTTAATAACAGGTACTGAAACATTCTAGAACTGTTTGTTCTCTCTGGTGTTTTTTTTTATAAATGAAACCTGTTGTGTTTACAGAACCTCATTATGAAAAATTGCTGAGCCAGAGTTAAATAAATCCATCGATCGGTTGACTTTTGTGGCCCTCAATGTTGACTAGAGGAGCTAACACAAACATGGAATCGTATTTTTATGCGACACCTTTGTGGGGATCTATGACCTTTTTTACCCATGCCATTGTGTTGTTATGGTAACTATAGCTGACACGCAACTCTTTAGTTATAAATCTCATTTAGAGAACTGTAAATGGTCCTTCTACAGATTTAACACTGTATATTCAAACAAAAATAATTTTTCTAAAAGTTATATTATGTAAGTCCCCAGACACCTTGGTTATAAAGCTGGGAGCTAAATCTGCAATATTATATAATGAGACTTTCTGTTCTTTTACTCCTGAACAAGGCCCAAGCCTGAGCCATCCGCGTTCTTACACACTCCCATATTGTATATGTATTCCTCACAACACACAAATGGTTGATCAGAAAATGTTAAAAACATTCTGCTGATACACATTTTCTTACCCGTTTTATTCGGAAGTTACGGATGGTAAGTTGAGCAATCTCCATGGTGGAGTCGAGCCAAATGTGGATGTCGCCATGGCGAACATACTTCTGCATACTAAACACATCTCCCCAGTATTTGTCGCATTGTTGCTGTAAATACAGAAAACAGATGTCATTAATCTTTTCATATCTCATCTTGTGACTAGATCACTTCAATCCATTCATCCCGAATCTCATGTTATCCAAACTTCTTATCACAAATTTTACATTTTCTCATGCAATCTCATAAACATTCAAATGTCAATCTCATGAATGTGCATTCCCATGTTGTAAGTGTATCTTATAAAATTAAAAATTCTTCATCTCATCAACAACAAATGATTTGTGAACACAACACTGCAAACGAGACTATATATCGAGTGAGACTATATATCGCGAGTGAGACAATATATTGAGTGAGACTATATATTGAGTGAGACTGTATATCGCGAGTGAGACTATATATCGAGTGAGACTATATATCGCGAGTGAGACAATGTATTTTGTGAGACTTTTAATATATCGCGAGTGAGACAATATATTGAGTGAGACTATATATCGCGAGCGAGACTATATATCGAGCGAGACTATATATTGAGTGAGACTATATTTTGAGTGAGACTATATATCGCGAACGAGACTATATATTGAGTGAGACTATATATCGCGAGTGAGACCATATATCGCGAGTGAGACAATATATTGAGTGAGACTATATATCGCGAGCGAGACTATATATCGAGCGAGACTATATATTGAGTGAGACTATATTTTGAGTGAGACCATATATCGCGAGTGAGACTATATATATTGAGTGAGACTATATATATCAAGTGAGACCATATATCGCGAGTGAGACCATATATCGCGAGTGAGACTGTATATCGCGAGTGAGACTATATATCGCTGTTATTACTGGTGTAAAGTGCTCTCTGTATGTTTTAACTAGTGATGTATTACAACAGGTAGTAAGTATAATACTACATCACTGTTCAGCATTAATTTTGTTTTCAGGCATCATATACATTGTATACTGGATTTGACATAATAAGGGTGATGACATGGGTAAAGGATGAGTGGCGTGCCTTTTTAATCAGACATGCTCTCCCAAAACAACATATACCTTGTCATTTGAATATTTGCTCACCACAGCCGACACATGAAGTATTCTCTTCATCCTATTCCCATTATGATTTTCCCAGTAATAAAGCAATTAATCATTGAATGATTCTAAAGGTCACTGTATCTGCAGATAATATAATATGGCAGCTTTGTTTTTATTCAATACACTCATATTTATACAGTGCCATTTTGTGAGAGGTGGCATAATTCATAAAACCAACCTGATGACTTCAGAGAACTTCCAAAATTCTGAAAATGGTAATTAGAGAAGGTGCCCTTATTATGTCAAATAAGGTATCTGGAGTAACTAGATCAATATCTGTTCATTAACACACGTGCTTCAGCTAAAAAATAACACTTTACGTAATTTAAACTTTAAAGAAGCCTAAGAAAACACATGTTGAACAGTAAGATTTGACTAGTGTTTAAGTGAATATATATAACGGTGACAAATAAAACATCTGTCTGCCTAAAGAAGCCAAAGGAAGGCCGTTGAGGCCTAGCGGTTAGTCTTGGATAGTTATTATCTTATTATATATAATATATATCATCAGCCCATGCCTTGTAATAAGCCCACCCTTTAGCCGACACCTTAACGGAGGTGAAAGCAAATAATATTTCAGTGTATTTCAATACATTTTATTTACAGATTCGATGAGGAAAACTGAAGTAAACAAATAGATAAATAAATATGACTATCAAATTTGACTGCTTTCTGATTAGCTTACTTAGTCAACAGAATGTTTGGCTTGTCCATTATAAATCTAGTCATGACAAATGGGAAGTCCATTTTTTGTCACTATAGCAACATTCAAGCAGAGTTAGCCTTTTACGTCGATCCATTTTCATGTCTGGACTTGTCAATTTTAAATTACTAACTAGAAACCTATTGTGAAAAAATATCAAATAACAAATTTCTTGACTTTTATCTGGTGAATTCCAGTATGGAACAATATTCTATAATTGTTTTATATTTTTATAATCAATATTTGTTTATTACCAAGATACATTAAATTTGGTAATGATCAAACCTCAAAATATGATAATAAAAAATCATGGTGTCCACAGTAAAAGTCAACCATAAATCTGTATTTATAACCAATATCAACAATAAACACTTCAAAATATCAATCTTAGTATAAAGTGATGCTATCTGACACCTGTATAAACAGAATTGAATATTTATAGAAGACATGTATACATTTATGTATGATTGGTGTTTAATCCTTAACTTAATTAAGTTTCAAAGTTTAAAGAAAACTTATGATGGACTATCTGTGTTAATAAGACTGTAGTGCTGCAGTAAAAAGGGGCAATAACTCTGTCAATATCACAGTAAAGATAGAAAACCCTTCCACAACTTAAACACATGATAGTTACAGGTTAATACATTAAATCTTAGGGAATTTAGGCTGAATATATAAGACTTAAAATATTCTGACAAAATTGTGTTTAGGGATTGATAGATTGACAAACAGTTTTATTGAGAAGAAATATAATAAACAGAACCTGTGCTTAAATATTTGATATAAATGTCTAGTGTCTTAAAACAAAAGTTATTTTTGTATTCAAAAATTACACAAAGGATTCTTTTGAAAACTCTGTTGACGTAGATGTTTTATGATGTAATTTATCCTAAAAAGAAAGCGGAACAAAACTGTGTGGTTACAAAAAATGGATGGAAGGGTAATTGTATTTTATGCTGCCACTCAGAATGATGTATGTCTGTGTGGGAGGCAATTTAGAAATTGCACACCATTATTCATTTCAAACTCCCCCAACTCAATTTTGACACCAGATAATCACAATTACAAGTCACATTTATAGATCAAACTAATTCATTTTTACAGAAGTGCAGATAAAATACATTTCAATTTTCCAACTGCTGAACATTTCAATTAACAAATTCGACAAATTTTATAAATATATTATTTAATCATTATTTCCATATTCTGAACAAAAATATCAATGAAATTATTCATAAATATTATTAAGATAGAAAGAATTCCTATTTTTAGGTTGTGCTACTACAAAACCTGTTTGATACATTAATAAGTATTAGTATATCGGTTCAGATAGCATTGGCTGTTACTTTTTCAAGTTCAATATTTGATCTAATTGAATTTTATTATCAATAACGTTTGGCGTTCTTCGACATTAAAGACATGACTTCAAAACAACGAAAACTTAAACAACAACAAAAGCGACAACAATGATCACAACACCTGTTCCAACTATAACATGTGTGAAATGAGTGAGGGATATAATCACAGAACTTACAACAGCAAATCAGGATACAATTCAAACCTATCAAATTATTATATGATAAATAATATGAACAAAAAAAGCATCATTACCAATGAACTTAAAACAGACATTCTTGGTAACATTCTGATCTCTCAAAATACAAATGTTATTACCGGTAGTTCCAGTGGCTTAACTTAAAATCCCTCCACTTTAAGTCTAATGAAATTATCAAATATCTCCAAATGTAAAATATATGCAAATGTTTCTATCAATTTTTTAAGTAATGTATCTCCCTTTAAATATGCTTTCTTATGTCTTTGAAATGTTAAATTCCCAAATTATTGCAAAAAAAGGGATAAAATATATTTTATATATATAATTTATTCACTCAATATCTAAATAATTGGCTTATTAAATTGACAATATCCCTGCTTTTGTCTTTAATTTATGATTTCTGAGGCGCATACTAGCTCCTGCAGAAACATCTTAAACTTGACCTTATACTGACTGGACCTGTTGTTAAAGATCTTTAGACAACAGAGAAGGCAATATTAAAGTGGCACAGTAGATATAGCTCAAATGCTTTTCAGATATTTAGGCTGATTTTTTTCTCTTTTTTTTTTAAAATTTCCTTGTATTTTGTATTTATATAAAACAGTTCAAGTATGAAATTTCTGGATAAAGCTAAGTTTTTACGTCTCTCTTGACCTGGCCTATTTCTCAGGAAACAGACTTAGTGTCAGGGACCTAGAAACTTGCTATATCCCTCAGGTCCATACATGTACTGTGTAACTAACGTACAGTTTTTTTTGTAGAAAGATCCTGTATGCACCGAATGATGTATATAGAGCACACAATTGTTGATAGGAAATGTGAATAATATTTTGTAATACTTTGATATAGAATATCAACGGTATATTGTAAACAAAAATACCGGACATATTTTTGTCCTAGATTTTACACTTGACTATAAATCAATAAGACAGTGTACTGAAAGTCGCTGAGAAATGGCGTTTACTGCTATACTAGTACCCATGTGTCTATCATTTTCAATTTAATGCTTCATTGAGATTCGTTAATAAAGTTTATGGAATGGTTTCTGTGATCATCCAATTACCATTAAAATATTGATTATTTTCTCATATAGGTGTTGTGTGATAGTAAATTAATTAAGGTTCCATCTTGGATATGGAATTCTGTCAAAGTGCTATTTTACATTTTTTCTTCAAACTATTTCTTAAATGAAAGATACACGTGTCTGGATCATGTGTGATACCCAATTATGAAATTACATTACAATAAAATCCCAGGAAACTTAGGCGAGAAAAAGAGTTGATTGTTATGTACGTATATGGGATATGGAAATCCTACCCTTGGTGTGGAATTTGAGGTCAGAACCTTGGAAACAAAGCGTTAGTTCTGACCCAAAATATACATTTTCAGAATGTTCATATCGCTCATACCTACATATGATCTGAAGAAAAACAATATTCATCAGACAGGTTTTATTCTATGAGGAAATGTACAAACTTACTTATCCTGTTTTATCCTTTATAGAAAACCTAACAGTCAAATACAGACTGCTGCATGATACAATAAGAATTTCGGGAGTAAAAACATTTGATTTTAGAATTTTTTCCACTTCTCTAAAGCTAACGAATAATTCCGGGAAGTGCTGAAAAGTAAGTGCAGACTCAATGTGTCACTAACGAGTTTCACCTAGATAGCAATCACAGGTGCGTGCAGGTGAGACAGGTGAACAAAAACAAATGGCATTTTTATCGCCCAGGAAAATAAGATGTCACTTAAATACAGATACAGAGCTAAACATCCAAATGTTGTTTACCCAATTGCAGGAGAAGTTCTGGGATGAAAATATTCAAAATTCAATATTCATAATTCAGTATTCAGTATTCAGAATTCAATATTCATAATTCAGTATTCAGTATTCAGAATTCAATATTCATAATTCAGTATTCAGAATTAAGTATTCAGAATTCAGTATTCATAATTCAGTATTCAGAATTCATTACATAATATTCATCACATATGAAAATAGCACACACATTATCATTAGCATAAAACACAAATATCATTTGATGGTCCTGGCTACGTTTGTATTGAATAGGTAGCTTAATTAAAATGATGTTTATGTCATTAACAAAAATGGATTTAATTCATGAAAAATAAGAATAAAGTTACATTCAAATGAAAATATTTTGACTTGAGTTTCCCATCTCTGACCCTAAAAAAAGTAGAAATGAGGAGCATCATTTGATTGCAATCAGGCATGACAATATATGATATATTTAGGATGATCATAATCAAATCACTTTTATCTGATTTGGGTAACTTGTCCACTGCATTACCACTGGCACCAAAGCAGGCAGTCATTGTATGCAAGGTTAGTCATGGGGGGAGGGGGCACAGCAAGGGTCCGGAAATTAGGTGGGGGGGGGGGGGCATGGGGGGCATAGGAATAGGCTGGAAAACAAGGAAATGGGCACAGTCTCAGCAGGCATACAGGATACAACCATGGGACCATCAGCATGTACAGCATGCAAAATGTATCATATAGTACCTTTCACCTCACCATGCAACCATGCAGAAGATTCATTTCAATAAAACGAAAAGTAAAAAACTGTCAGCTATAATAATAAGGAAAAAAGTGGGGAAAATAACAGCTTATGAGAATAGATTGAAACCGAAGCCTAAGAAACCTTGTGTTTGTCATTTTGTCACAGGCTGAATTGGTCACTCACTGTAGTGAAAGCATTTGGAGGCATCCCTGACATTTTATATGGGCCAAAGACAGCAATTTTGAGGCATCCCTAACATTTTATATGGGCCAAAGACATCAATTTTGAGGCATCCCTGACATTTTATATAGGCCAAAGACAGCAATTTTGAGGCATCCCTGACATTTTATATAGGCCAAAGACAGCAATTTTGAGGCATCCCTGACATTTTATATAGGCCAAAGACAGCAATTTTGAGGCATCCATGACATTTTATATGGGCCAAAGACAACAATTTTGAGGCATCCCTGACATTGTATATGGGCCAAAGACAGCAATTTTGCGGCATCCCTGACATTTTATATGGGCCAAAGACAGCAATTTTGAGGCATCCCTGACATTTTATATGGCCCAGAGGGAGCAATTTAAGAAACCCTTGACCATGCACTCATATTTGATTCCAATTGGAAGAACCTCCAGAACTTGAATTAACTGTAACCAACGGCCTCTTACAGCGTCCAAAGAAACGGGCACTAGGATGAGGTCTAATAACAAACGTTTCTTGCTGCTTGTCTAGCGTGAAACCTTTTAGAGTCTCCCCATTCTTCAATGAGGATTAGCGTTGTGAAAGGCAAGATTCTTTTGGATGTGAAGGATAACAACGAAACTGCCCTGAACATGTTCACAATACTGTGATAATGATGAATACATATCTTGATTCAAATTTGTCTCTAAGGAAAAATCCATATTTGTTTAATGAATATATACACCTTGGATTTTCTGCATATATAATAACAAATGAGTCAGCTTGGAACTAAGTCAGGACCACATCAAAGTCATGATTCACTGAGAAAGATTTCTTTTCCATTGAAGTCAGCATCTTAGCCTTGCTTACCCAGCAGTCTAATCATTGGACCAACACACAATACATATACTTGTTTTTTTAATTAGGCGGTCAAATCAATTGCAATATGATCCAGTGATCAATATTGCTGTTTTGTTCAAACTTCCCAAGCCATTTCAAAAGACTATCACATAATTAATCGAGAGTTGACTGGTACGTCTGTTCAAGTGTTTCCTCTTGCGGTTGTTTTTGTGTCGATATTAGAAAGATACCTAAAGAATAAAGCGTTGTCAACACCACAACAAATTATCCCGTTCTAGTAATATATAAAATTGCGATGTTGTCTCAGTAAAACTGAAAGCTGGCCTTTCTAACTGATCGCCATATTGACTCTGCGTGAACTGATAACGGGTCCCTTCGTAGTTTACCTCAGCACAACAAATACATTCCAATGGCCGGTTTTTGCTGCTATACACAGGCACCTAGTGCGATAAGCCATATCAGTTTTTTACCCACGGCTCAGTGGCTCATATTGCGGCCATCAATGATGTACTTCAATTGTGTTATTTATCTCGCTGCTGATATATCCTCGTTACGAAATGTCTGATAAACATTTAATGGCGATGGCCCCTAATTTACCTCCACGGTGTGGACACTTTTTTCACAATTTTACCTTCTAGCATGCAGTTTTATAGCATTTTTAGAGGCAAACAAATAAAAACAGCTATCTGTTGACATCATGCTTGACTCTGCTCGTGTAACTACAAATTATAAACTTCCGGCCAACCATGTCAATTCATAAATATCAAAAAATTGATTTTCACTTCTGTATTTTAAGTTCATCCTACAACCTTCATGTGAAAGGATACATACCATTATAACAACTGCATGATAAGCTAAACAAGTTCAAGTTTAAATTAAAATGTACTCTCAGTAAAATATGAATATGCTGACAAGAATGTTTGTCATTATAAAATATAATTTGCTTACTTTAACCAATAATTAAATAAAAATATGAAATCAAATTTTTAATGGTTCCCGTAATGTTCTCCTGGTCTGATTGACCACAACAAGATGTACACAAAGGCCGAAGATAAAAACATTCTACAACCTGCTATTTTCTCACAGTATCATGTTTCACCACTGGTCTTGGTTCAGTTGCATACCATGAACTATAATTTGGTTTGAACTGTTCCAAAATTTTATTTCAAAGACCAGATAAATTAGAAATAGTGATATGTTGTTATAAAATTTCTATGCGATATTTGGAGGTAAGAGTATATATACAGCATATCTTGTTCGTAACAAGTCTGAAAGTGAAAGGTTATATTTTGATAAAGATATATAAGCATGAGAAAAATACATTGCTTGTTACAATATCTATAAAATCAAGATAATAAGAATGCAAAGGATGTGATTATTATGACTCAAGCATGCTAAAAGCATATATATATACATTTCCATGCAAGTTATAATTTCTACTAGCCACCATTACCGTAAAAAGCATGTAATAAAAGGAACTTTTTTTTAATAAAAAAAGGTTTTGCCAAGCAACAAACAGACTTACGCTGGCATTTTCAAAAAGTCCTGTTGCCATGACAATGCAATGGACACTTTCTTGCCAAACCATGTGCCAAAATGCTGGAACTGTTTTCTGTTTTGGACCTGTTTGAGAGAAAAGGAGGGGAAAGTTTTATATACCGCATACAGTAAAATGTTTATGCCTCTTAAATTGATAGCTCCAATAATCACACCATATTTTAATGATGACATCAATCTAGCATTTCAAGGAACAAATTGAAAAGGTTTGATTCCCCAAATACCGATTAAGTGTCAGTTGTTTTATAATATATTGAACCAAATTATCTATTTTCAACGAAACTAGAATTTACCAAAGATTAGATAGATAATTGTTCACATACAATTTAATTATGATTGTCAGTTAACTTATTAAAGCTTAATGGATTGATCCATAGTTCCAAGGCTTATTGCCATATTTATCCTGGAATAAGTGAGGAGGCCGACACATAATTTCTGATTGAATGAAGAAGTGGGACAATAGAATAACATTTGTTGACATTTCTACTTAACTGCATATATACGGATGGGCTTATTACCCGACATTCTCAGATATATATGTAATCTAATGCTTTAATCAAGTCTATTAATGATCTTGTTAACTCAAGATCAGTCTTCAAATGACAGACTCTCTGTATTTCTGTCCATTTAAAGCTTACATTTATCCTTCAAAGTTGTCTGACTGACTTTCTTTGATTTCATTTTTATTTTATTACACAAAATAAAATATTGACTTGAAATTTATTACCTCAAAAAAAAATGTAAAAATTCCTTTTAGATTGTAAAGAACTGTTTTATTTTCCCTATATGTGCTTCACTCTACCTAAAACTTACCTTTTTTCACTAGTTATAAATAAGTACACACTTGAAATGTTAATTATGGTCCATGTAATATATTAATCTAGCAGGAATATTTTGTGAAATAGAAAGGTTTTACCTTATGCCTTGACTGTACCCTAATTTTTTGGAAGCCTAAAGCACGCAATAAGCAATTGGTTTGTAAACAAGAGATCCCAGAGGGATCTTGGCGCCCACCTTTGTACCATCTTCATTAGTTCTTTGTCAGTTCGATCTTTTCTCTTCTTTCCTCTAATCTGTTTGATCGAGTCATGTTAACAGTAAATGCACCTTGAGGTAACTTTTGATCTAAACTTAATACTGATGTGTATGAAAGCCAACCTTCAAAGTGAGTTTGTCATTTCACATATTTACTAGTACAGTACTTAATGTGAAAGAAATAGAATCGATCATTGCAATATGAGAAAGATCTGTTTAGTTCTTCTTTTAATCCATTTTGTTTTTATGATCAGTCTCAAAATATAACATACACAACGAGGGATCAAGGGGAACCTACATTTAAAA